GTACGCTTTTACACATACTACCATCCACTGGGTAAGGAAGTTACCACCGTGAACTTCCGGATCCGAGATGACACGATGGACTCCAATCCAGTACTTTTATTTCCTGGCTAAATCAGTCCACTACGCGTGAGCCATTGCTCAAGTCTCCACTGATTCTGTTTCCATCGGTTGAGAGAAAAATTATCTGGTTTTTCATAGCTCATCATTTATCAACAGAGAATGTGCAACAATAGACTCGATCCGCCCACAGCGCACAGCTACACTTAGCTAGTTGTCTCGTTGCGCGCCATGTCACGGTTTAAACTTTCATTTGAATGTGTTGATGCTCAGCCATGCGTGCGTCCTGAATTCAATGTTCTTTACCCGTTTTATCTTCTTCTGAAACTGTCTAGCAGCCAAATACACTGTATACTATACACATGCGATTGAATTTTTATACAAAAGCCTTATTGGGATCTTATATTTTGGTCAGTTTGCCAAGGTAGGGTCCGAAACTTAATCTCACCAACCGCCTATCTCTGTCAGCAAACTTTGAAAGCTTTCGAATGCAAATCGCCGATTGTGGAAACAGCTGCTGTGTAGTGATAAGACCTTGAGAGTGTACGACTGCTGTCGTTCGAAGAATCAAAACATTCCCGTCTGGAAGCTACTCTGTCGGTTTTTTTTAAATAATTCCCCAGAAATCGAAGATTGTTTCAGATGAATTTCTGGCGGACTTTTCTTATCTATGCTTTTCTGTGCCTTGGAGTGTGTTGGGCAATGCGGAAGCAGGGTGTTGCTGTCCGTGGAACCCTAAAATGTGGTCCCATAGCGATGAACCACACCAAAGTGCGAATTGTTGACATCGATTACGGTAAATAACCCCTACTTCCATCGTTCATAAGTATAATACGTGATAGCTTTTAATCCTATTCAGGAATCGATCCCGACGACACGTTGGACGAGCAACGCACGGATGAGCAGGGCCGCTTTGAAGTCAGCGGTACTACACATGAGCTGACCCCAATTGATCCTGTCCTGTACATCTGGCATGAATGTCTGGATGAACAGACGGTGGGTCCTGATTGGAACACAGTGCTTTGCTGACGGTAGAAATTTGAATCAGTAATGTTCTGCTTGTGTAATTACGTTGAATCTTTTGTTTACTTATTTACTCCGCGTGTAATATTGATCAATGCTCAGTGCAGCAGATTTCAGCCGTGCTCTCGGAAGTTGAGGTTCGAAATCCCGAAAAAGTTCATCCACAATGGCAACCCTACGCCAGAACAATGGCTGGACATTGGGGTACTGAACCTTGAGGGTTCGTTCGATCAGGAAGGTCGCGAGTGCGTCAACTGAAGACTTTGTTAGGTGCTACTGATAAACTAATTAAGTTGTTGTTTAATTGTTACTTGTAATTTTCCATTCTTTTTTCCTAATGAAAGTTTCTCAAAATCGCTTTGTATATTTGCCGCTCAGAAATTTGTTATCCTTGTTTGCGGTTGGCCGCAAGGAGTATCAGGAGCTTAAGGGGTGACAACGGGAATCTTGAATGACGATGCCGCGCGGGGAGCTACATGGCTATAGGACAACCAACCGGCACATAGTGAATGGCGAGACAACTGGCCAAAAACAGCTGTGAAGGAATAGTGACTCCCAATATACATGCGAGGAGGTAGCGACAACCACGTATTATGACAAAGTGTAATTAATTGAATATCCTGAACAAAAGGGCGGAGGTGGTGTAGTGGCAAGTGGCGCGCACTATCTCACATGCATGATCACGGGTTCAAGTCCCGGATCGGTTTCCACCTGAGCCAACCAAGCCCTTTATCACTCCGAGCTCGGTTAATTGGTACCAGACTCGTCTGGAAGGGTAAAAGCACTAACTTGTACATCGGCTAACCACCGCAAGTTAGTGTACAGACCACATAGGCATTCTATACGCCACTATGATTCTGAATGGAAGTCGAATGCAGGGCTCATACCCCAGAATAGGTTGTTCAATGCTTAGAGACATTATCCTTTTGTGTGCCTATTCAAATTACTGACGAAATATGGGATTTTATGTATGGGTACTTAATAATGGGGAAATGTTTGATTTATGATCGGTTCGATCCGTTCTTTCACCCGACCGTCCTTGAATGAAGCGCATTTCTGATGACGAATCTTCCGATGCTATTCTTTTGGAACTTTTTTTCCTATTTGAGCAATAGCCCAGATGAAATATTCTCACAACACGTGGACACCGAAAAAAGGAATCCTTGTAAATGGAAAGGCTGTAACACCATTTTTCCGATCACTTCAAATGCAATGCTTACAATACAACGTGGGAAGATTCACCAACACCATTCAAGTGGCGACAAGCACTTTTGTCATGGTGAAGAGAGAGCAAAAGAAAAAAGAAAGACAGGGACAAACCAGCCCGGGAAACATCATCAAATCATAGCGGAAAGTTCTGAAAAATCGAGCAATAATCAGGATAAAGATGGAAAATGAACTTCTAATTCGATTTCCTCTCTACCCTCTACCTTTCGATATATGGTATACAGTATTATTCTAATATACTCAGATGTGGGCAATAGAACTACATCAACCTCAGCGAAGATCTTTGCAAGAAGAAACTGTTCCTCTCCATCATTTACGCTGTCCCTGCCCCCCGCTCACCTGGAAAAACACTAATTCAAAACAGAGAGGGTCACTTAAAGATCCTAAAACAGTCTGGAAAGGGGTCCAGGGCGTTGGGAATGACTGAAAGGGAAAGGTATCCTAACCGGGTTGGTCCCCTTTCCACAAAACGGTTTGTATTATGATAAGTTATGCAACAATCGATTTCTGTGAGTTTATTGCCGTCACTTGCCGATTGCTTTTTACAACAAAAGAGCAAATCGGCCTCTGATATACATCAACATCAGCAGTCCGGCCGGCCTCTGTTTCTCGTCTGAAACAACTGCATCCGTTTCCATGCCACAAACATGTTTGTTATGTCAATAAGTATGAAATCGCCTCTGACCTTTGCTGCCTATTTACCTCTTGCTCTTAAAATTGATCAACTAAACTGTCATTAATAGTGAAACCATGTTTATTTACTTGTAGGTACATAATGGGGTTTTATAAAGTGTTAAATAGTCTTAAGAGACAGATTCTGGTAAGATCTTGCCCTAAGCTTGCTGAAACATGGCATTTCGCACTTTCTCAATTCGGCTATCCCCATGGTTCTGGCCAGTTCTGCTTGCATGACGTGGACCACATACTGCTCAAATTGAGCACGTAGTTTGGGCTCAGACACTTTTCGAGTAGATCTTGAACTTTTATTATTCTTTGATGCCTTACTACAAAGTGGTTTTGGTCTAAACTGAGAGCCTTATTGCCGAAAAAGTTTATCTGTATTCGCTCATGTAAGGGTGCGCATTAGAGTTCTCAGTCAGTAGATAAACAGACTTACGGTTCTATCTTCTGTGCCTTCCGTAGACTCCCCCACTCGGCAGCACAACATCGTTCATTTCGAATAGTACCAGAGTTTTATTGGATTTATGACATCTCAAAGGGTTGTGACAACGTTATAAGTTGCTAAACTTCACAGCGTTCAACGTTGTGAACCTCTCTATTGACATACAGTCCAGCTTTTCGACGACCGGCGGGTTAGATTATCGAGCGCATCCTCCCGGGTTAGATTATCGAGCGCATTCTCCCTCTAGGTT